CTTTGAGAACGAATGCCGCTAAACTCTCAGAATTTTTTCTGCTGGAGAATTTGGCCTAGAGAATACGAGTACACACCAAGGCAATTGGTCGGCCGGTTCTAAACTATGCAGCGCCTGTGTGTGGTCGCCGGAGACTAGTAGGACGCAGTGGATGAAGCTACGACTTACCAAAACACTGCACTCCGGACAACGACCGGATGCCTTCTGATGTCGCCGCAACATCACCCGCACGACGAGGCTCAAATGCTCCCAGTGGAGGAGCATAATACGATGCTCCTCAAGCAATTCTTAGTAGGCCCCCGAACAGACACTTGCTTTCCAAGTTTTTGCGTACGGAAACTCCAAAATATAAAAAGTCGTAACAGTTGTTACGAACCATTGCAAACTACATATGTATATATCACGTAAAAAAATCGAATTTTAATTTCACTTTGAAAAAATAAATTTTTGGCTGATTGTAAAGTATCAGGCAATATACGCCAACTGAAAGGAACATTAATTTCTTTTTCTGGTTAACTGCTATTCACGATCTTTGTTTTTTTAATAAGTTCAAAAAAGTATCTGATAATAGAGAAACATCTTCTCCATAAAAGTAAAATTGGTGTAAAATAAAATTAATAATGAATTGCTTTTCATATTTTAAGCAGAAATATTTTTTGATAAAATCAATAAGAATTTCCAAATAAAACAATACGGAATACTTATAGAAATTCAAATATACTTTTATGTTCTTCCTTTATACCCATCTTCGAAGGAAGTCATGTTTTTCTCTATAAATGAGCGGGTTTGTCACATTTTCTTTAAACAGTTTCAATTATTTTTTCGTTATCTTATATCTTACTTTATGGTTTCCACTTATTAGATAGTTTTATCGAAGAAACGTTTTTTATACATATCGCCGTTTAAAGTACAAAACCGCGTATCAAGATAATGGAAAACCTCGTATGTAAGGTTGCCCACACTTTACAAGAGAGAGTAAAACCTGTCTTATTTCAAGATGGTTCCCTCTTTTATCCCTAATTATCTCTATCAGCAGTTTTCGGTGTGCAAATATCATTATTTTTTCACACCGGTCAGTTACGCGGTTTTGCGGTATCACGATACACGGCTTTGTACTTTAAGCGACGATATGTACATATACTATATGTGTAAACAAAAGTGTTTGTAGGTTTTATTGTTTAAAAATTAAATATTTTTAGATAACAATTAAAATTTGACTTATTATTCCTATAGTTCATTATAAAAAACACGGCTGGCGTAAAACTGGACTAGTGGACAAGACAAGTGCATAGCAATTGCATCAAGATGGCATCCAGAAGTCACCAGTATTTTAGTCTGCGTTGGAACAACTACCAAAACACCATGACGTCGGTGTTCCAGCAGTTGCGTGAAGATCTCTCTTTTGTGGATGTAACACTCTCCTGTGAGCATGGCTCACTAAAAGCACACAAGGTAAGAAATTAATATATGTATACATATATACATACATACATACTTACATACATATGTATGAATGTACCCTGCAAACCATTTTTTCAGAGTATTCTGAATTGTAGAGACATTTTAAAGAATTCGTACAGATCTCATCGGATTTTTTGCCAAATTTTCTAAAATGAAATAAATTGTGTCTACTTCGATTCTCTCACGAAATTTCTCATGAAAATCGTTAAAGTAATGAAAATAATGCTGCTATGTGAAGAGTTTCTTGCAGAATTTTTTTCAGAATTTTCTTTATTTTTCGGAACGAAATTTCTTTACGTGTTCTTGTCAACCACTTCATATAATTTTCTTTGAAGATTTGTAAAAATTTTGTAAAATCGTTTCAGAAATGAGATACTTCTAAAGATTTTGTTAAGATTTGGGGAACTTTGGTTTGTAGGGTACATACATATGTAGGTATTAATTCCCAACCGAACAACGTACATGAGACTGCACCAGTTTTAGAAATTTTAGCGACACTTTTCGTTCAGCTAGTAGTTGCGCATTCATAGGCAGATTGTGTTGCAGATTGCGAAATAGTATTCGTCCTTCGATGGCTGAGTATCTTAATTTATTTACATAATTATTTGCCACTTTATGTATACATCCTCGTCATTAACACCTAAAATCCAAGTACCTTTTGCTTCGAGTTGCAATATTTTCGGAAGACCTCCTCGTTTTTTTTTTTTTTCAGATGCACCCACCACCATACCCAACATTGAATTCTTATCATGAAAACTAAATACTTATTAATCTCCCTAATTTAAAAAGTGTCACACATTGAGGACGACGGAAATTGTGTTATTTAACTTCCAGCCGGATTGTTAAATGTGGAGTGTCTAATCAAAAAATTATATTTCCACTATACATTATTTTACAGGAGAAGCAAAAAGACAATACAAAAATTTAAAATGTATTGGAAATGTAACATCGTGAGACAGTAAATTTTACACACAAAAAAGTCGAATACTTTCGCGAAGCTAGGTGCCAAAAATAGAAAACTGCGCTTTTAATTTTTCTTTCTGACTTCAGGATTTTTTTAAAAGGTCCTCAAAATTTCGAAGTTATGACTTTTTCAAAAACTTATTTGATGAATTCGGTGTAATATTTTTACATATTTACTTTTTTAATTTTTGAATCTGGGTTTCGCTGTCTCAATGTTTAACTTTTATTTTGTCGTCTGTGTTGATCTTTGCTACATATCGCCCATTTACTTCACTACTGTCATAACTCAAAAAACAGAACTCGGAAAAAAAAGGTTTAGAGTATTGAATCTAAATATATTCCCATAGTAAAAATTAATACATACATATGTATGTTGTTCTAGTGAGATGCTGGTAATCGGTACAGCTATGAAATTTTTACACAACATAGAAAAAGATGTAGCGGTAATTTCCGCATACTTAATTCAATATTTGTATTTTTTTTTTGGATTATGTCACTATCTTGAAGTATGTAAGTGAGCGAAATGTATAATGTGATATGCTTGTATTTTATTTTTATTTCTGTCTTAAGTATTATATATTTTATATTTACTTGTATTTTAATCTCCTTTGTACTATGAAAGATCTATGACTATTAAGGTGGTCCAAAAATGCATGTGAAAAAGTAAAGTCGTGGTTTTTATGCCCTCGCCCCCTAGGATTGTTCTATACCGAAAAAAATATACCCCTATTTTTTATTTTGAAATCAAAAAAATATTTAGAGGTCGCTCAGAGCGCCCAAATTTTTACTTTTCGTAGAAATGGTATAGAATTCTTAAAAATAAATATTTTTCTATTGGAAAACTCTGCTTATCTGCAGCAGACTCCCAATAATAATACCCAATTATTTTTTTAACCATTTTTTCATCGCAACTATAATTTAAAGGTCCGCAGTAAACCGATGAAAATCCCGAAAAATGCAATGGGGGGGACAAATAAAAAATCGTTAGTATTAAAAAATGGCTAAATAAACAATTATCGAAAGTCTCCTGAAGAGAACAAGAGTTTTCGATCGAAAAATATTTATTTTCAAGAATTCTATACCATTTCTATGAAAAGTTGCTTTTTTCCATATAGAAATACATGGAAAACTTTGATTTCAAAATAAAAAAAAATAGGGCTATACTTTTTTCGATATAGAACAATCCTAGGGAGTGAGAGCATTACAATTCCGACTTTACTGTTTTTGGACCACCCTAATGATCATACTGTACTAATGTCTTTTTCTTAATAAATGAAATGAAATGAATATAAAATAGCAATATGGGTATTCAATAAAAGATAAAATTCTGTATAATTAAAAAAGATTAAATTGTTTGGTGCATAAGGACGAATAGGTATTGAAAGTGTCCTTTTAAAATTTTATCTTTTAATATCCTTGAAAATTTGCAGTATTTATTTTTGAAAAAAAAAAAACTTAAGGACTAATATACAGGCGACTACATCCTCGAATTTTGTCTTTCTAACATTAGCTTAAAAAAAATTAAATTAAATAAAATGACATTTTCAGTACCCATTCGTCCTTGTGAACCAAACAAATTTTATTATTTTTAATTCTGCAGAAATTTCTTTTTTTTGTTGGTACACATATTTCACTGTATTTTTTTAATAATACATACATATGTTTAATTAAACATAACTTTAAAATTTCAAAGTCCTTTAAAAAAAATCCTGAGAAAAACTAAAAACGCAGTTTTACTATATTTGGCCCATGGTTTTGTGAGATTATTGATAATTTCGTGTGTTTTGGAATTTTTGGATTTTTATCGCACGATGGCAGCTCATCTTTAAGATAATATTAAACAGCATGATTAAAAAATTCCCGGAAGTAGAAAATCTTTTTCATCATCTTTTGATTAGGCCCTTCAAATAATTTGTTGCCATCTAGCACCAGAAATTGACAAAGCCCACATTGTGCGTTCCCTCAGGATCAATTCAACAAAAATTCTTATTCTAAGAACTCAAAAGTGAAAACATCAGAACAAGAT